TCCTGGGTGATTGAATTACTGCAAGGGGAGTACGAGGTGAAGGTGGTTTTGTATCTAAATTTTCTTTTTGATGGATTTCAGATGTCCCGAAGGCGTATCTTTAACGACAAAACCGTAATGGCTATCTATAGATACCTCTAGAAAGCGTCATGATAGAATACTAAAAACTACCTGGCAACAACGCCACCGGACAACAATCCGGCTTCTCACTCCGATTCCTGGGATGCTGCTTCAACTCCTCCTCATCGCTGTCAAGTTGGCTGAGGTCGAGTTGGAGATCCTGATCTTTATTGTTTCACGCTACCATTTTCAGGAGTTACCTCATTGCCCAACCCTCGATTCTTCTTCTTCAGGATCCCGACAATCCGCAGGTTGAACATGTACTTTTCGATCGAAGCGTTCGTGATCTGGAAGTGGAGGACAATAAGCTAACATTCCGATTGATTACCTTAAACTTGTATTTCTGCTTCGGCTTTAGGGTTCCGTTTGTTGACATCGGCCGGTTGTGATTCGGAAACTGTGGTTTTGAGCTAAAATTTAAATAACTAAGTCATTAAGCGTCACCGTACAGGTAACAAGTAAAGATCATTCCGGAAAGAGAGACAAATACAGAGAGAGAGAGAGAGAGAGAGAGAGGGGGAGTGAGTGGTGAGTGGAGTGGTGAGTGAGTGAGTGGTGAGTGAGTGCGGAGCGAGAGAGATAGCGATTGGGACTGAGAGAGAGAGAGAGAGAGAGTGGGACAGCAACAAAGCCAGATAGAACAAATTAACTAAAAATGAACTTTTAGCTTTCCCTGATGAATACACGAGCAGCATTCACCTGAAATTAGAGACCCTAGAAGTGCCGTCCCAGCAAAACGTGCCTAGTTCGAGCGAAATTCGGGAGCCCTCCCCCTAATATTTCGTGCCCTCGAGGCGCCTAACCCCCGCGCCAGTCCCCCCCGGCAAGGTAAATGAGACGGCGGTCAATAATGCACCAGCACGACATGCTGGTGTCCCCCCGTTATGTGTTGGTGGGTTTGGGACGGGGGGCCAGGTGCATCCGCTCCCGAACCACCACCTAAAAGACCCGAAATTTGGGGTCAGGCTGGGAAGAGTAATGGCGCACCATTTAGCGGGCAATTGGTCCAGCCTTGAGATTTTACTATTGAAAACTGCTGGAAATTTTGCTGTCTAGGCCTAAGCCTAAGCATCCCGTTAAAAAGGCCTTACTTAACGTGGCACCTACAGATCATTAAATTATGTCCAATTAATCATGGTTCTTTTCAAAATTCCAAAAAAAATGGAGAAGATTCCTAGGATTTTCAGGCCAGGTTCTTCATAAAAAAATTGTACTATCAGCCAATCAACCAATTTCCTGTATGAAAATACAATTTCTAAATTTTAGCAAAGCTCGCTTATCAAAATCAGAAAATTAATCCGCCAGCATTGCAACGAAATTTCGTAAATCTTGCCCTACTGGTCAACATCTAACCCCATTCTTGCAAAAAAATGGAAATCCCACCCCCGAGAAGCCCTTTAGGTTTCTGTTTTCCCCCCGCTAATTTGTGGTATTGCGGATTCGCGGGGAAAGTGCCAAAAATTCAGGTTCCGGGGTAGAAAAGAAGGGATGTTTATCCGATCATGGGCGAAAGGATTTTGAAGGGAAATAAATTGAACCCTAACTTTTATTAATGCGTGACTCACAGCCTGATTCAGCTTGATTTAAAACCAAAACCTCGCATTTAGAGGTAAAAAAAGCTAAATTTTTGTTCCGGATAACCACGAAATCAATTCCGAAAAATCCAGTAGATTGGGGAGCTCTATCTCTCCTTTCATTAGCGCATCAATCGGGTGAATTTGTAAGTTTTGCAGGTTTTGCAAAAAGTTAAAGCTCCCCTCCAAACCTAAGACACCTTGATTGAACTCGAAATACCACACGATTCAGCAACTTTTCGCCATTTCCGCATTCCAGGAAACCAGTAGCCAAACCAACCGATCCCAGACCAATTTTTCTCACACCACGATTCAAAGATTTTCCAGTCGATCTCCTCCTCCCCAGAAAAGCGAGGGTGGAGCCGACCAACAAAAAAACGCAGGCGCCGCCCGATTTCACGCAACCCCGCCTGGAGCCCCGGAGCTGCAAAAAAACACAAATACATACACTCGAAAATGTTTCGCTCCGCCGCAGCCGTTCCCTTCGGAAAGGTCCGTTCAAAAAGGCCCTGAAAAGGTTGCTGAAGTGAAGCCAATGGGGGGAACGGCAGGAAATCATGCGAAAATCTCGAGATTTTTGTCGGAACAATGGTGGGGCTGGAGGAGGGATAATAACCAGGGGGTGAACGAGTCATAAATAGGCCGTAATCTGGCTTTGGGTTTTGTTGTCAGCAGGAGGCAGGGCTGTTTTTGAAAGGTTATTTTGGAGATGGCTATAGAAAACTTGGAAGAAAAAGCTTTAGAAGAATAGCAAGGTTAAAAGAAGACTTGCAAAGGAGCGTAGTGGTGTGCGTGAGATGACTACCAGGTACACCTCTCACCACAACGTACGTGCTTTGGTCGTCCGAAACAGCGAAAAAAAAGCTTCAAAAGTAAAGAACGCACGGATACGGGGGCTTAGAGGAATGTTGTGTAGCCATGTTCGAGTCCGAGAAGCACCTCTGGAGCTAGGAATCTTGTGCGCCTTGATGTCTCAACGTGAAAATTCCAAAAAAAATCGAGGCATTTAATGTACCTAACCCTAAAAATAAGCAACTAGCTATATTCAGATCAGCGAGATACAAATTTCACGTTAAAATTTATGAAAAAAATCAAGAAGCTATTTTCGCCGCATTTGAAGGTCCAAAAAGTTGGGAAAAGCGAGGCTAACACTAAATCGCCGTAAATATATTTGGTTCGTAAAAAAACTATAGTTCAAGGTTAGTTTACAGTTTTTATTAGTCCCAATTTTAAAATAGCCGTTTTATGGCATTTTTTACAAAACCCAAGAGTTAAATTGGCCTAAAAGTCCCTAAACCCACATTCCGAAAATTTCTAAATGGCAAATATCACCCAGGAAGACCCGCCGGAGCGGATTAGACCAATTTTTTTGAGATAGACAATGAAGTCGAGGGTGGAAAACCTGGCGTAATCCTGGTACTATGCTGGAAGGAGGGGAGGAGGTTGGCCTCTGGGCCCTCCCCCCTCTCTTAGGGCCCATATCCGTGTGCACCATGACGACCCGACGGCAGGAGGGCACTGGAGGAAAACATAGACAAACCCCTGGCCCCCGATTCTTCCTCCTGCGTCCAGTGGTCAGTCAAGAACGTCTAATTTCTCTGGACGTCCGAGGATATATTGTAGTGCTGCGGAAAAACGGAAAAATTTCATCGTTTTAGCGGTATAATAACAATTCTAGTTATGTAAACCATTTTTGAAAGCAATTAGTAGCTTAAAGTATCAGGCAATACTTGATGGCAAAAATTGCTTATTTGGGGCCAAAAAAATCTTATGTTTTTTTGTCTCTACTAATCAGCAAAACGTTGTGAACACTGCGAAATTTGATTTCCGCTTCTAAACCAAATAAACTCTGAAAAACGAGCTATCGGGGGCAAAATAGTCGTAATGTAATTTTTAAAAACGACCGAAACCAGCGTAACTAATTAAAATATAAATGTCTGCTTGTAGACCAAGGTAACACGTTAAAAATGTGCATCACAGATGAGATAGTTATAATTATGGGATTACTAATCGCCAACGCTCTGCGGAGCAAACAAACTTTCGTAACTACCCTGTTTATCGTCAAGTAAACACGCTAAAACGAGATATTATGATCAAAAAGACTATAATTAGCGTGAGCATTACCCTGGAAAAACATCGGAACATTCGATTATAGAATTAACGTTCCTAGACCAAACACAAGTTTTCCCAAAACCTAAAATACCTCACCTAGCGTTCCATACTTGTGAATGCGTGACTCCCACCCCTCCGCCGCTTCATCCAAACGCATCCATGCATCGACCATCATGGGATGTTGCCCTCGCCAGCGACGAGGGGTCCGATGGGAAGTCCGCATTTTCTAGCCGGTTACCCACTTGTTTCGCCTCTTTTTTGCTGATGATAAAAAAGAAAGAAGAGTCAACGGGTACTAACAATACCTTGAGTAGGTTGTTGCCCTAGAAGGGGTACCTTTTTAAGTCTACTCGTCCTTTTAGCGGGCCAACAATCAAGAATCGGGGGTAGATGAGGGCTTTCTCGTGGGATTCGAGGCACGAAAAAAATCTGCAAGGAGCTAAAGTAACGAGAAAAACTCCGTTCAAGCTCCAAAAGGCAATCTAGCGCAGAGCATTAGGGAAATTAGACGCGAAATAAGTTGTATACGACTAAAAAAAAAATTTTGATAAATAAGCGTTTTTTTTTGTTTTGAAAAGTACCAAACCAGTTTGAGATCCTGAAACACGTGACAAATGGCTCATATAAAATTTTTAGAAGGCGACTAGCACGACGACTAGCAAAGGTAATTTGGGAAAACGTCTATCAAGGGTTAGGAACCTTAATTTAAATAAATTTAAGCAAAAACTTTGAAACCTGACTCTGAAAAGTAAGAAAAATTTTGACGCGCTAAAATAAGCAAAAGGAACTAAATTAAATCGTCGCGTTAAAAAGTAAGCTAGCAGCGATTATTAGGGAAATAGCCTTTAGATTAAGTTTTCACTAAAATCTACGTAAAAAATAGACCTCGAATTTCACCATATGATCATTTGGACGCCAAGACCCCCGAAAAATAACAAAATTACATCCGGGTTTTACCTCGGGTGCAAGAAGCACCGGAAACAGCTGTAATTTGCTTCCCACTACCGCATAAAACACAGGTTTTCCGACCCGAGAACCCTAAATTTAATAAATTTACATAAAAAATCTACCTGGCGTGCAAAAACCGCCGGAAACGGAAGCTATTACCCTCCAAAACCACGTATAAAATAAACCGTTTCGTCCACTAGGAATTTTCACTCCCCGCTCGTCACCCAACTCGTCATCAACTCAACAATGGCAACCGCTGAACCGGCCGCCCCTCCTGCTGCCTCCCCCAAGACGGCCAAGCCCGGCGCTGACCCTGCCGCTGCTGCTGCGTCGCGTATGCATCCAAATTATTCAAATTTATCATCTGCTTTTTTTCAGAAGATGGCGCCCTCACCGTGGCCGCCCTCGCCAACAAGTACCGCGCCGAATTCGAGCAGACGTTCGAGGCCCTCCGCGCCCGCGCCCTCAAGCTCCAAGCCGACGCCCCGCAGCTCATCCAGGAGACCCAGGCCAACGTCGAGCCGTACAAGCAGGACTTCATCACCACCGTGCAGGCCACTGGTAAGGGGACTTGTCTTACTTAGCGGACTTTAAGACAGAGTACGCGACGCTCCACTTGTTGGTATGGATCAGCACCCCCCGGCTTACTTTTTACCTCGGCTGCCCTTTGGTGCTACAGGGGTGTAAAGTATACCAAAATGTTAATCGCGATCTGGCGAGTATTTTGGTATACTTTACAGCCCTGTAGCACCATACGAACACCATACCAAACCCAACACTTAACTTACTCTACCAGGGTACAGTAACTTTGCAAAAATTTTTCCCAAAATTTCTCATTTGCACATTTCTCAGTTTTCATTGAATCGAATAAGTTTCTAGATTTTATTATTGCAACAACATAAGAAAGCAACAATAACAATTACTAGCAGGGTGGACTCCTTCACATGCGACCAAAAGTTAAGAAACGCAGCTTAGGATTAGGCTTAGGCTTAAGCTTTGACCTAGGCTCAGGCTCAGGCTTAGGCTCAGACGTTGGCCCTGCTTTGGCTTGGCCAGGTAGGCTTAGGCTTACTGGCTGAACGGTATACTACTGAAAACTATGAAATTACTTGTAATAAAAATAAATATATAGAAAAATACAAAATTGGAAACACTTCATGTTCAGCACGAAAATGAAAAATAATCGAAAATGGTTTTTGAAAATTTTCCCAAAGTATACTAGTACCGGCTTAGCTTTAGCTGCTTTACCCCCAAGCCTCGAGTATCTGTACTTCCAGGCGACGTCACCACCCCGCCCGGCGTCATCCTCTCCACGCTCTCCTGGGCCACCGTGCTCGTGCTCTTCTCCACCGTGGCCTCGTTCGCCTCCGGCTACCTCTTCGCCCCGATCCTCGGCCTCGCCATCGGAGGAGCCGGCGCCCTCGTGCTCGCCCTCGGCGCCCTTCCGGCGTACAGCTACTACACCCTCAACCAGGTGCGCGAGGAGTTCGGCTTTGCTGTACCTCGGTCAATCACTGCTCCTTGGCCTACAGGGCTGTGAAGTGTACCAAAATGCTCGTCAGGTGTAGACGAACATTTTGGTATACTTTACAACCCTGTAGCACAACGGGGAGCGGAGAAGTGTATGAAAAACTCTTTGACCGCCTGTTTTCTAGGACATTGCCGCCAGCGCCTCCGACGTGACGATCCGCTTCCGCCTTCTCGCGGCCGCCGTCATCCAGGGGCTGCTCGTCGGCTTCATCCTGCAGAACTCGTACCTCTCCGGGGCCCCGATCGCCTCCCTCATCCTCGGCGTCGCCGCCGCCGCCTACCCGTTCGCCGCCGAGAAGTTTGGCGGAAATCGCCAGGTTCGTCGACTGGATTGAACCCCTTGAAGACGTTGGCTTTTTAGATGCTGCTCGGTGCCTCGGTCGGCTCGGCCGTGGGTGTGACGCTGGTGCTCGGTCTCCTCTCCGGCTACCTGACGCTGCCCTACCTGCTCCTTTCGGCCCTGTATGGTGGTGTGACGGCCGTCACGCTCCAGTACATGTACAAAAACGTCACCGCGGAGACGGTAGGTTTTGGGAGTAGAGGTTACCGAGCCTCAGCTTTGTATCTCGGCTCCACGTTGGGATGGCACAGGGTTGTAAAGTATATCAAAAAAACTCGCCACGTCAAGACGAGCATTTTGGTATACTTTACACACCTGTAGCACCAAGGGGAGCGGAGATACAAATGCACCCATACCGAAACCACCAAACTACCGGTCTATACTCGCTTTTCCAGGCCCCCACCTACCTCTACCAGCTCGCCCTTCTCGTCTCGTTCGCCGCCGCCCGCCTTGTCGTCCACCTCGTCTTCGGCATGGGCCCCGAGGCGTACGCCCAGTACAAGCAGGGCGCCACCGCCACGCAGCAGAAGTGAATGCCCAACCCGCCAGCGCCCCTCCTGCACTGACCCGAGACCGGCCCGGTGGCCACCGCCTACTCGTCCCCCACACCACACCAAGCATATTGCCCTCCCCGGGCCCCCTGTTCTTTTTCTGATGGCCCCGTTCTGTTTTCCTTGGTCACCTCTTGGCGAATAAACGGTTGCCTGACATATCGTGTTTGTGAAATCACATTTTATTGCATTCAAGCAAAAACTACTCATGTGCATGATCAAAGTGTGTGCAGCTGCTGTTTGCTAAAGAAGTACGCATGAAAAGCCGTGGAAAAGTGTGCAACACTAGTTTTTTACAGAGTCGCAAGAGTAGAAATTTTACATCGAAAAATAGGTTTGCAGTACGAACTACACCCAATGACGGTAGCGGAGCCTTTCGTAGCCACTGCTGGAAAGTTTTTATTTTTATGCTCGATCGAAAATAATTTTTCACACAAGTTCTTCGTTTTTCACGTTTTTACAATCAAGAAAAATAGCAAATTTGTCTTTTTTTTGATAGTGGAAGCCTTTGAGCATTCCCATTGATTCTTCCTCCATCTTTAGAACTGCTCATTGAGAAAAGTTGCCCATCTCCTCTACATGTGCTTTCCGTCGGCGTTGGAGCATTTTCCGGCGATAAAGCAGGCCAATCTCACGGCAGACGCCGCTCCATTATGTCGGGCCAAGCAGCCGGCAGCGACTCTCCTCTGTCTCTTTGCTGGTTCTATGCGCCCCGGAATGGTGAAACGCATCTCATGCTTACGTTGCGTTAACCTTTTGTCAGTGATTGTTAGTGCAAAGCCGAAAGTAAATAGTCTCTAATCTCATAAATCATTTGAGCGACACGCTACTGCTTTGAGAAGTATGTTTACTTTTCCCAAAATCGATATGGGGCTTGCTAGTTATTGATTTTCATTAGATCTTTGGCATTTTTCTGACTTCTACGGGGGCTTTGTTTCCAATGAAATCGGTAGATTTCCTTTTTTTTCGTGCTTTTCCTTTCATCTAGAACCTTATTTTTATTACCTTGTTTTTTTCAGACTTTGGCCGCCCTCGATCCGCTATGGATCACCAAGCCCCAGGGAGCTCGAGGTATACTTTTATTTGTTTCTCCTCAACGTTCTTTAGCTCTCACCGACCAGCCGATGATAGTGAATTACGGAGTAGAAAGGCGAAAGGTTTGTCGTAGAATGTCTTTTTATAACTTTTTTTTAGCCGGCGAAAACGGGACATCATCGTCTGCGGGGAGGGCGCGCTCCAAAAGCACACCGAAACTAGGCGTAGATTATACACAGGTTTGAGCTATCTTCATAAGCTTTATTTGTGAATTTAGAAACAAGTCGAGCTGGTGGCCCGTATACGGACGTGCAAGGATTTCTACGAGATTCTCCAGGTCGACAAGAACGCCAGTGAAGATGATATCAAGAGAGCTTACAAGTAATTTTGATTTTTACAGGCATTTCCTTAGTTCTGCAGTTTTGTAAATGTCAGCGTGATCATTTAGCACGTATTATTATCGTTTAGAAAACTCGCTCTCCAACTCCACCCTGACAAATGCCGGGCTCCTCATTCCACTGAAGCTTTCTCGGGTAATTCCTTTTTGTCCTAGCTCTAACTTTTTATTTTTAGCCCTCGGCAGCGCCTATGATGTGCTCTCGAACGAGGAGAAACGCCACCGCTACGATATGTACGGCAATGAAGAGGCTGCCCCGGCTAGGTAAGCTTTCTTTTGTTTTTTGTTATAAAATCGTTTTAGACAACGTCAGCACCACCATCATCGCCATGGAGATGGCTATTTCCAATATGATTACTCGCACGGGTTCCAATGTGAGCTGAAGCGTTTGTGTCTATAAAATAACCTGTTTCAGCCGATTTCACCCCGGAGGAGATTTTCAACATGTTCTTTGGCGGCGTGTTCCCGGATGAGGTGGTGCGCCGGTAATTCTATTTTCTAAAATTTTTATTGCTTGGTTTAGTCAGCGAAACCAGCAGTTTCGCCGTCATTTTCGCCCACGCCCAGAGGAAGAGGAGGAGGAAGGTGTTGAGGTAAAGAAAACAGCCTTTCCGATGATTTTTGCATCGCCAAATTATTGCAAAACCTTTTTCTCGCGTGTTCTTTGAATCTCGGCTGATATCTCCTATTGAAAGCTCCGAAACACGACAAATTACGTTCTTTTTAGGCCGAAAACGGTGGCGGTCGCTACATGCTGATCATCATCCTTGTCGCCATTTTCATGAGCTACATCACACCGTTCTTGAACTCGCTGTCTGCACCACCGTTCTCGTTAAGACAAAACAGGTTCGATTTTCGTTCCCTTTTCATACATATTTTAGTGACTACCCGATCCGCCGTGACACCGCCAACCTCCGAGTGCCCTACTTTGTCCAGCGCGACTTCATGGAGCACTACAGCACCGAGATTCGAAAGGTATAACTTTTGTCCTGGAACTTAGTCACCAATTTCGTTCAGATTGACAAGAAGGTCGAAGAGGACTACACGTACCAGCTGCGAGTCGAGTGCTACAAAGAGCAACAGCAAAGTGGGTTTTTTTTCGCGGTATTGGGGCGCGAAATTTTTTGTATAAGCCTATGAGTGCCTAGTAGCTTAATAAGCAGTATTTTAATCGGTTTTTAGTACAATACAACTCTATTTCAGCTCGAAAAATTATCTAAAACCTCGAAGAAATTTTTTTAAAGTCGAAATTTTGGTCAAAAACCGGCCGTTTGTGGTCGAAAAATCGATATTTCTTTGTATTTCTTCATAAAATTAACGCTGGGGATTCGTAAAAAACCGTTCAGAAACACTTTCGCGATTTATATTGAAAATTTGGATCCTAAGGAAAGGTAGCTTCCGCTCCACGATAATCAGAAATACCCTGGAATCAATTACATCCGCTTTTTCCAGAAGAGAACATGATCTACCGTGCTCGGCTCTTCGGCGACGCCGAGCTGTTGAAGCGTGGCCAGCAGTACAACATGCCGTCATGTCGAAAGTTGGAAGAGCTCTACGCAGCCGGCTAAACCACCAACATTCCCTGGGAGCGAGCTATTCGTCTACGTGTATCCGTCCCCGTAACATTAGCATGATCTTAGAAATCGTCTTCATTTGTGATATTATAAAGGCTTTCACCCCTCTCTTTCTCCTTTCCCTGGTACTCCTTCCGTTGTGCTAGTCAATCTTCTCGATTGTTTGTAGTGAATTCTTGCCGTGGTGTTGGTTTTTTTGGCGATTTGTGAATGGCAATATAATAAAGTGGATTTTACCGCCGGAGGTTGACATTGACATCACAGGCTCTTTGTCGCTATTTTACTTACAATTCCTTCTACTTCATCAGCTATCGAGCTAGAAGTTTATCTTAGCGTTTTAACGACTTTGCGAGGCTTCGAAAAGGCTTTTCCATGCCGGCTTTATCTTTGGTTGATTGATTTTTAGCCGGTTTAACGTTTTTTTGAAGTTCATTAGTGCTTTCCCCTTATTTCCGCTCAAACAGATGTTCAGGCAGACTTGGGCAATAGACTGAAGATCTCTTCAACTCGACATCCGCCCTGGCTGTCAGTCTAACATCGGTTGTGCCATGGAGTTTGGAGGACCTAATGTACGTTTCTTTTTCTAGTTGCCTCATTTTAAATCGGTTTTCAGCGCCGCTATGGCCAACACACCAGGAGACGCGGTTCCAGCTCTGACGAAGAGCCGCAGGATGAGGAGAAGGTAATTTCTGACGCTTCGAAACCCTTATTGCGTTTTAAGTACGTGCCACCGGCTTCCGGCAGCGAGGACGAGAATGATTTTGAGGTGCTTGTACAGGTTTGCCAATATCGATTGAATCGTTACGATTATTCTATTTAGCCTCCTCAAGCACAGAAACGTGCCGGCCCCGATGGCGATGACCTAGACGATGGCTATGGCTCAACCAAGCGCTCCAGGCCCGAGGATGTCTATGAAGCGACGTACAACTCTGCGGCAGTGCGCAACGACGATTACGGAGCCAACATCCAGTTCGCGTCCTACGGCGATGATTTCGGACAGTCAGCGTACCGCGACTCTGCGTCAGCATCTTCTCGTGACGATGGATACGCATCGATGACGAGAAGCGAAACTCTAGACGATGAAGCCGAGAGAAAGCCGAACAACGATTCGGTCGGATCTTCGAAGCTCAGCTTCGCCGAGAGAATGATGCAGAAAATGGGTTACAAAGGAGAGGGCGGTCTTGGAAAATCGGGGCAAGGTGGGTTTTATGCAATACGAGAACTTTCGATTTTTTTTTAGGTATCGCCGAACCGGTTGCTCTATCAACGCAGCGAGGCCGCACTGGTCTGGGCCACGATTCTGCAAATGTAATGCTGAAAATTATACTAATTCTTCTCTAGGCGTTCAAATTCGACCCGCTGCTAGAATGGGATGATTCGAGCGAAGTGAAGAATGTCAAGGAGGTCAGCTTCTTTATCTGATACATTTTTTTTTGTTGTTCAGGAGATTGATTGGCTGGGTCTTTTTGATCCAAGCGACCCGCTCTCCGGCGAGCAGCGCCATATCGAGGTTTTTGATTCCAAACTGTTCCTGAATCTTTTTTTTAGGTCGGACGCGTCATCAACACGGAAAAGTTCAAGGAAAAGAAGGTGCAAAGATCTTTACGCCAATAATTGTGGTTGTAGGAAAAATTGACGATTGATGACGAGGACTTTGTCGTGGATAAGAAGCTGCTCGCCGATCTTCTTGCTGCCAAGACGGTAAATTTCAAGAGATCTGGCCATTCCTGTGTTTTTTTAGGTTTTCGATCATCTTGATGAGCGGAGTCTTAACCAAGCCCGCCTTCGAGCAAACCCTTATGAAACGATCGCGTCCGGTATTTTCCAGGTGGGGCTCGCAAGTCACCTAATTTTGAGGCGAAACTCGGCTTCATTTCTGATTTTCACCTTTCAGAACCGAGCAGCCATGAAAGCCGCCAACCTAGATGCAGTCTTCGATTTCCTCTTCACTGGCGAGGACCCGGCGCAAGTGGAGGTACATCCTTTTTTGCGGAATTAAAAATAGGTTTTTTTAGAAAAAATGCCCTTTGCGACTGGACAAGGTGGGAGAGAACACCACCCGTGATGCCCCACTATTCTATTTTGCCGACGTTTGTGCCGGTATATTTTTTACTGATGATAATTCAACTGAATCTAGGCCCTGGCGGCTTCTCGGAATACACGCTGTGGCGCAAGAACTTCTACAATGCCAAGGGATTCGGGTTTACGCTCAAAAGTGCGAAATTTTTGGTTACGACATAATATTCCTTCCAGATGAATGTGACTTCAACTTGCGCAAATTCATGGCCTCATCGCCACTGCTTTTTGAGCCTCACTACGGTGAAACAAAGTTGGTTAATCTTTTTTATGTTTTTCAAAATTAGGATTTCTGGCAATAAAGTATTTCATAAAATGTTTTCTAGCACCGGTGACGCGACGAAGCCTCAGAATATCGAGAGCTTCGAAAAGTTCGTGATGAAGGGCACTGACGGGCTGGGCGTGCATCTGATGATGGCCGACGGCGGGTTCAGCGTCAAGGGGAAGGAAAATATACAAGTAAGATTAAACGATTTGCTAAATTTTTTGTTTCAGGAGATCTGCTCCAAGCGCATCTACCTATGCCAACTTCTGATCTCGCTGTGTGTGCTGCGCGAGGGCGGCAACTTTTATTGCAAGCTGTTCGACATCTTCACGCGCTTCTCCTACGAGTGAGCGAGGCTTAATGGACCTAGATGTTGTTTTACAGACTCTGCTTCCTCATGACGCTCTGCTACGAGGACGTCTGCATCCACAAGCCGCACACCAGCCGACCGGCCAATTCGGAAAGGTTTTCCCGCTATTTCGATGCCAATCTCCTATTTTAGGTACATCGTATGCAAAGGCCTGAAACGCGAATACTCTGACCCAATCCGTGACTACCTGAAAAAGGCGAACATCCGGATGGAGGAGCTGTGGAAAGTGGAGAAGGAGGGCAAAAAAGACGTGATGGAACTGCTGCCCGGCCACTTTGTCGACGGCAAGCTGACGGCGGCTGAAAAGCAATTTCTCGAATACCTCACCGACAACAATAATATGTGAGCCTATTGATATCTGTCTTTGTTATTAATTTTCTTAGGTTTGCAAAACGTCAAACACACTACCTGCACAAGTACGAGAAGTATGCCCGGAATCCGAATCTGATTGACCGCGACCAGGCCGATCTGCGCGAGCAGTGCATGGCCTATTGGAAGGTTCGCCATCCCGCTTCTTCTTTACGTTTTTAGGTCCCCTACGACATTCAGGACAAGAAGGGCCTCAGCGCTTCCCGTCTTCAGGAACTCAACAGCGAGCAGGCGCTGACGATTTTGGAAAGATATGGCAAATATAGCAAGGTACGTTTTTGATGGTCAACACGTATCAGGGCGACTTTCCAAGCGCCAAAAACAATCAAATATAATTGTTCGAAATTTTCAGATGCTCTCCAGCGAGGATGTTTTTCCGAAATATCACCCGTTCCCTGAATTCATCCGGGATTTGCGTCCAGAAAAAACCGATAAGTCACGCTATCGTGATGAGGAGTATCGATGTGTGTGGGCAACTGCGGTATTATACGTTTGATAATTTCGCTAATTTTTTATTAGAATGAGGGCGGCCAGCAGCGACCTCCCCATTTTCTGATAGCTGGAAGGGTACGTTAATTGTCGCAAAATGAGCGCTCATTTTATTTTAGGCGGGTGTCTATTTGTACCGGCCGAAATCTAATAACCCTCAAGGCTACGACAAGGAAGAATACTTTGGGAAATATCGAATTCCGGGCCCATCCGTGCTCTCCATCGAACTGACCGCATCGGCTGAAGAGGTACAGCTAAAAAAATCAATTTTTTTCATGGTGTTTCAGGCGTCCCACGACAAATTCCACGCGCCGAAGAAGCTCGTCATCCGCATTTTGGATGCTGCTGTCTTGATCGGTGACTATATCGGCGCACTGCCCTACGAGAAGCGCCTCGAGTGCATCAAGAAGTTTTGCAAGGCGGCATCTTTGGTAAGCTACGGACCCGTTTTCGGTCCATATTGATTTTTAGGTCTCGGGTTCTGTCAGCGTGCAAACGCCAAAACAACAGCAAAACTTCAACCGGAACCGGTCATTCGTCAAGTAAGAGATTTGGTTCTCAGAAACGACTAGCCTATTTTTAGACTGGAGCCGATTGTGTTTCAGCCGATGGAGTTGGTTGTCGCCGGATGTTTCAAGCTCAGCGAGATTCCACTGGTCCGTTTAGCTGTCTTTATTTTGCTTTATTTTCTCCGGCAGCTTTCAGCTTCGATAATTTTGCATTTTAGCATCGCCCGGTCCTGACAAAACACCAGAACGAACCTGTGGCTTTCATTCGCGAAGGTCAAAACGCTTTCCGCGTCAGTGGCTTGCATGTGCTGAAATATTTGAATGGTAAGGACTTGAGGCTAACATTACTAAAATACAACTTTTTCAGACCAATGGAGCGTTTTCTGGAGCAACACGGCCAAGCAGTGCTACGCGTATTCAGTAGTAAAGGTTGGCGTTAGAGGGAATTTACGTGGAAAGCCATTTATTTAGCAACCTGGTGGTGGCCACAAGGCGGCATCGGTGTTCCCCGACAAATACGCGGAGAACCAAGTGACGACCAACTTCTACGACACAGCTTTCACCAAGAATCGCCCTCACATGCACCAGTTCTGGAGTTGGCAGAATAGCCGTATGTTTTTGGCTTCGAGACTGGTTATCTCCTAGAAACTATTTGCCTAAAAGTCATGTTCCCTAAATACCAGTTTTCCTAAAAGCTGTTTCCTCTAACACTAAAAATGGTGTTTTTTTGAAGAAGAAATAGTGTCTAATTAGGAGCTTCCGGTTTTAGGAAAAATCCTGTTCAATACCATTTTTCCAAAAAGCCGTTTTTAGCACTAAAAAATTAAATTACCAATGAAAAGTCTTTGTGTTTATGTTTTCATAACACTAATCATAAAATTACGTTTGAATGGGCTTGAAAATGGCTTAGACAAAGAAAGGAGAGCGACATTGGAGAGCTTTTCTTTTTAACAGGCATTAATCAGCTTTATGAAATATGTTTCTGTGGGAATTTACGATCTTAGGAAAAATGGCTGTAGCACACACAGTTTTTCAGTTATTTTATCGTTTTAGGCAGTTCCGCAGAGGCCTACGGTGTAAAAAGCATCATGGAGGACGAATCGCATCCGGATGGCCCCACACTCAAATCGGTTGCGGCCACGATTCAACCATTCACCGCACCCGGCGGCCCCGCCAGAAGAAATTCCGACCATGGACTCCTGTGATACGCTAGTTCATCAGACTTTCTTGCCTCTCTACCGGAAAATCGTAACTTTAGAAATTCGCTAAAATTCTAAGATCTTCAAAAGTTTCTATTAACTTGTTTTCCGTTAGCCACAAGCTGACCCTAATTTATTGACAAGTAATTTCTAATTGTGATAATCAATATTGTTACCTGTTGTCGCCGCCAGAACCCCGTGCTTTATTATTTAACACGCGAGTGCAGTTGATTGAGCAATTTTTGTTATGCCCCCCTCGCCATATGATCTGAATTTAATTACCCCTCCCTTAATTCTATCCTATACCGTAAATGGAAATTGTTAATGCCGCTAATAAAGTTAATTGTTGCTAACATTTCGCACCCACAGAAGTGAATTCGACAGCTACACCGTCTGTGAATTTTATTTTGTGCTTATTTGACGCTCATTTTTCATCGGTTTCTGAGGAGTACAGTACATTTTTTACTGTACATCTTCAGCATTTTCTTTTTTAGGAATTCTTTCCTCGTGCGTTTTGCAGGAAATTTTTGTTGCAGCTGACCCCGCGCACTCAAATCGGCATATACTGGCGTGTTCATTTGCCCTTTCCCGCGCTTCCACTCCTTTCAAAAGGACGTTTTATGTCAATTTCGCCGACATATGTTGTTGGTGCGCGTAATTTAGAGCAATTCTCGCTTCCTAGGCAGATGCTAGAAGGAAAACTTCGCGCCCAAACTCCGTTTTTGTTTGGCCAACCTTGGCGGATCGTATTTCCTCTAATACCTAGAACCCCGGCAATTCTATTTTTTTGCATTCATCCCAGGGGAGGGCCAGATTTTTGCGATTTTGAGCAATTACAACGTTTTTTTTAGCCGTTCAAACCGCTCACAACCACTCAAGAGCACCGTAGCAAGCCTATACACGAACGTTTTCTGCTTCAATTACAACTTTCAACTTTTTTTTTTGGTTCTATAGAGGAAATACGGTAGTTGCTGTGTTTAGAAAAGCGCGCGTTCTCTAAATTGCTATACGCTCCCCGCTTTCTATTTTTCCATCACGCTCTCGTTATATCGACGTTAATTTCTATAATTTTTTCAGCCGCCCTCCACCCGACCCGCAGAATGGACACGCAGTACACGATAGAGCCCGTCCCCGGCTACGAATTCCTGCAGCGTACGGCGCCCGATCTCCCCTCTCACGCGAGCCGCTATAACGGGAAGCCCCTCACATTGAATGAAAGGTATGTTTGTTTTCGTTTGAAGGGCAGTGCTGCCTGTTTTGCTCGGATATTCAAAATTTCGGTGCTTCCGTGTTAGCGTTTTACACTGTTTGTGTATATGAAAACCCTCCAGATAAGCATCCACCTGTTTCCAGAACGTTGCCTTTTAGTCAAAAATGCATGAAAAATGGCCAAACTGATCAAAAAACCAGATCTTTAGGCTATTTTAATAAGGTTTTTACCATGTTTCAATGAGCGGAAGGTACCAAAACAATTACAACTATAGTTTATCCGATTGCTCGGCCGGCATAGGTTGGATCATAAATTCAACACGGAAGCGCCAAAATTTCTAATCGACGAATCAATCAAGCTAACAGAACTGCATTACATTTGAACTTTAGGTTCGGAATCTACGCGCGCGGCTACCTCATCCATGCGATCGAGACCGAATCCGATGAACGACACGAGCGACTCGTCAAGACCAAAACAATCACCAAGACCAAGTGAATATTCGATGATTTTTCATAGATGCGTGATGTATCCCGTTTTTTTGTGTGCACCGATCTCAATTTGCAAATTCCGGTAATACCTACGCCGCCGATAAATGTATAAACCGAATCGTCTTTCTTTGGAGAATCGAGAGTCGCTTTTCTAGGGCTTTTGACGCTGTAGTTCAACTTTCGTGCTAGGCGCATTTTATAACAAACAACTTTTATTCAACAAATCAGCAGTGCAGTCAACGGATTAAATGGGTTGTGCAAAGCGGGAGATGATTCGAAATAGATAAAACGGGGATAGGAACAAGCCGAGGCGAAACAAGAAATCAAAAAGTTAAAGAATTGCTCTTGCAATGAGACGTCTTTCGTTAGAGGGCAAAAATTTCTAAAGATCAGCTAGAGGATGATCAAGGACTTTTGACGGGCCTCGGCGCGGTGAATGGTTGAATCGTGGCCGCAACCGACTTGAGGGTAGGGCCATCCTGATGCGAGTCGTTCTTCATGATGCTTTTCACGCCGTACGCCGATACCGAACTGCCTCCTAAAACAATAACTTAGCCGAGCGCGCGAAGTTTTCAACACAGAGAAAGAAGCAAAAAAACATACGGCTATTCTGCCAACTCCAGAACTGGTGCATGTGAGGGCGATTCTTGGTGAAAGCTGTGTCGTAGAAGTTGGTCGTCACTTGGTTCTCGGCGTATTTGTCGGGGAACACCGATGCCGCCTTGTGGCCACCACCAGGTTGCTAAATAAATGGCTTTCCGCGTAAATTCCCTCTAACGCCAACCTTTACTACTGAATACGCGTAGCACTGCTTGGCCGTGTTGCTCCAGAAAACGCTCCATTGGTCTGGAAAAGATGTATTTTAGTAATGTTAGCCTCAAGTCTTACCATTCAAATATTTCAGCACATGCAAGCCGCTGACGCGGAAAGCGTTTTGACCTTCGCGAATGAAAGCCACGGGTTCGTTCTGGTGTTTTGTCAGGACCGGGCGATGCTAAAATACAAAATTATCGAAGCCGAAAGCTGCCGGAGAAAATAAAGCAAAATAAAGACAGCGCAAAACGGACCAGTGGAATCTCGCTGAGCTTGAAACATTCGGCGACAACCAACTCCATCGGGTGAAACACAATCGGCTCCAGTCTAAAAATAGACAAATTTTACTTCTGAAAGCGAAATCTCCCACTTGACAAATAAGCGGTTCTTATTGAAATTCTGCTGTTGTTTTGGCGTTTGAACACTGACTGAACCGGAGACCTGAAAAACAATTTTTTTAAACCGGAAATAAGTACCAAACTTACCAAAGCGGCCGCCTTGCAAAACTTCTTGATGCACTCGAGGCGCTTCTCGTAGGGGAGTGCGCCGATATAGTCACCGACCAGGATAGAAGCGTCCAAGATGCGGATGACCGGCTTTTTCGGCGCTTGGAATCTGTCGTGGGACGCCTAAAACGCAATGAAAAATTTTTTGAAGTTTCAGTGTTACCTCTTCCGCCGATGCGGTCAGTTCAACGGAGAGCACAGATGGGCCCGGAATTCGATATTTCCCAAAGTATTCTTCCTTGTCGTAGCCTTGGGGGTTGTTAGAGTTCGGCCGGTACAGGTAGACACGCGCCTAAAATAAAAAACGCTCCAGTTGAGCGAATCAACGCACCTTTCCAGCTATCAGAAAATGGGGAGGTCGCTGCTGGCCGCCCTCATTCTAACAAAATATTCGCGAAATTATTAAATTTATAATACCGCTGTTGCCCACACACATCGATACTCCTCGTTACGGTAACGTGGCTTATCAGCCTTTTCGGGACGCAAATCCCTGATGAATTCTGGGAATGGGTGATATTTCGGAAAAACCTCCTCGATGGAGAGCATCTGGAAAATGACATAGCAAGCTTCTCGTTATTGCCTATATTATTATCCCTATTTCTTATATAGCTTTTTTCCGAATGTTAGAATTTAGGGTGCTGATGAGAAAACCGTACCTTGCTATATTTGCCATATCTTTCCAAAATCGTCAGCGCCTGCTCACTGTTGAGTTCCTGAAGACGGGAAGCGCTGAGGCTCTTCTTATCCTGGATGTCGTAGGGGACCTAAAAACGTAAAGAGGAAGCTGGCTGGCCAACCTTCCAATTGGCCATGCACTGCTCGCGCAGATCGGCTTGATCGCGGTCAATCAGATTAGGATTCCGGGCATATTTGGCGTACTTGTGTAGGTAATGCGTCTGACGCTTTGCAAGCCTAAGAAAATTATGACATAGCAACTATTTCAGAGCTTACCTATTATTGCTGTCGGTGAGGTATTCGAGAAATCGCTTTTCAGCAGTGGTAAGCTTGCCGTCGACAAAGTGGCCGGGCAGCAGTTCCATCACGTCTTTTTTGCCCTCTTTCTCCACTTTCCACAGCTTCTCCATGCGAATGTTGGCCTTTTTCAGGTAGTCACGGATTGGGTAAGAGTATTCGCGCTTCAAGCCCTTGCACACAATGTATCTAAATTCGGATAAAGGATTCGCAATAGCGGCAAAACCTTTCCGAATTGGCCGGTCGGCTGGTGTGCGGCTTGTGGATGCAGACATCCTCGTAGCACAGCGTCATCAAGAAACATAGCCTGAAATTAGGACTTAGGACCTTACGACGCCGTAATCCTCCAACGATCACTTCAAAACCGACTCGTATGAGAAGCGCGTGAAGACGTCAAACAAACAGCAGTAGAAGTTGCCACCCTCGCGTAGGACGCAAAGCGAGATGAGAAGTTGACAGAGGTAGATGCGTTTGGAGCAGATCTCCTGAGACAAAATAAGTTAGAAAAATTGTTAAACTTACTTGTATATTTTCCTTCCCCTTGACACTGAACCCGCCGTCGGCCATCATCAGATGCACGCCCAGCCCGTCAGTGCCCTTCATCACGAACTTTTCGAAGCTCTCGATATTCTGAGGCTTCGTCGCGTCACCGGTGCTAGAAAAATACTTTGATTGGCTTTCTGGCTAAAGCTTAAATACATAAAAAAGATAACCAACTTTGTTTCACCGTAGTGGGGCTCAAAAAGCAGTGGTGACGAAGCCATGAACTAGCGCAAGTTGAAGTCACAGTCATCTAAAACAAAGAATGCATAGAAATTAAAAATTTCGCACTTTTGAGCGTAAACCCAAATCCCTTGGCGTTGTAGAAGTTCTTGCGCCAGAGGGTGTATTCCGAAAAACCGCCAGGGCCTAAACGCAGACATTCTTGGTTTAAAGGTAAAAACGAGCAAGGTACCGGCGCAGACATCAGCAAAATAGAAGAGTGGGGCATCACGGGTGGTGTTCTCCCCAATCCTGTCCAACTTCAACGGGCATTTTTCTAAACAATCAATTGTTCAGGCAGAAAAGCGCTTACCTCCACTTGCTGCGGGTCCTCGCCAGTAAAGAGGAAATCGAAGACGGCATCCAGATTCGCAGCCTTCATAGCTGAACGGTTCTGAAAGGTGGAAATTGGATTAGAAGCCGAGTTTCCCTGGACCAAAACAGGCCTAACAAGGCTCACCTGGAAGATACCAGAAGCAATCGTTTCATATGGATTTGCGCGGCGCCGAGCTGTATTAAGACGCCAATGATCGATGTCATCCAAAGCCTAAGAACGCAAACTCATATAAATTGGGCATAAAAAAAATACCGTTTTGGCTGCCAGGAGTTTGGCGAGCAGCTTCTTATCCACGACATCAACCTCGTCATCAATCGTCAATTTTTCCTACCACCAACTCATAGGAAAAAGGGGTTTGTACCTTCCTTTCCTTGAACTTCTCCGTGTTGATAACGCGTCCGACCTAAAAATCGGTTCCGGAAAGTTAGCAATCAAAAACCTCAATGCGGCGCTGCTCGCCTGAGAGTGGGTCGCTTGGATCAAAAAGACCCAGCCAATCAATCTCCTGAAAAAAGATAACTGCCAGAAAAAAAGGAGCGAACCTCCTTGACATTCTTCACCTCGCTCGAATCATTCCATTCGAGCAGCGGGGTGAATTTGAACGCCTAAAAGGAAATAGTAATTCATTGAGCATTACATTTGCAGAATCGGGGCCCAAACCAGTGCGGCCTCGCTGCGTCGATAGAGCAACCGGTTCGGCGTCACCTAAAAAGTTAGAATGTTCGAATGAGTTCCATAAAACCCACCTTGCCCAGATTTTCCAGGAGCGCCTTTTGCCTTGTAACCCATTTTCTGCATCATTCTCTCCGCAAAGCTAAGCTTCGAAGATCCGGTCGTTTGGATCCTAGGCTTTTCCACGGCATGGTATTGGTAGAATCCTCCCTCCTCAGCCTCTCTTCTCATCTCGCCTATCTTCCACTCCGCATATCCATCGTACCGAGATTCAAAGTACGACGATCTTCTCATTTCCGAATCAGCTTAAAATTACGTATATAGCTCCCGGCCAGTGTCGGAAAGCACCCCCAAGAAACGCACCCCAGGGTTCGTTAGAAAGACACCCCACTCCCTCGGGGGTGCATTAATAGTTTCCCCGGGTGTCTTTGAACGTACCCTCCGGGTGTCTTTCGGTACCGCGACACGCGCGCCGCGGACACTTGTGCTGCACCACCTAGTTTAGGCTAGGTGTCGGGGCGCAAATGTCCGCGGCGCAAGTGTCCGCGGCGCAAGCGTCCGGGAGCTGTCTTTCGGGTTGTCTTGGGGTGCGTTTCGCCCCCACAGGTTGCAAAGAATAGCAACTCTGTTTCGAGTGGCGCGCCTGCCGGCGCGGTACCGCCCTCTGGCATGGCTGCCGGCACGATGGAACGGCTGCCGGCGAACTAAAATTCGGCACGGTTGCCGGCGCAGCCCGGAGGGGCTCGGAGAGGTCAGCTGCACGGCACGGGTGCCGGCAGACCACTGTCGCTGACAAGCAGCCGAGCGCCATAACTAGAAAATTTCGGCCGCGCAAGTATTGTTCTAGTCATAATAATGGTTCAAAACTTACTAAAGTGCCTCATTTTTGTGTTGTCCAAGAAGGAATAGGTACTACGCCATCAGCTACGCGGTTTCTTACTTACTTATGAGTATAAGTTTGTTATACGCTCGAGATTTCAGGTGAAACCTTTAGACCACAAGTATGAGGCAAGGAAAGTCTTTAAGCATGGTCGAAGAACTGACTGAATTGATGATACCTAGCAGGTACATTGCTAATCGAGTTTACGTAAAAGCTTTTCGGTCGGAAATCCTGCCCGGTAACTTATTTAGATTGAAATTATGGACATTTGCCTAATGTGACAAACAACGATTCTTTGGTAGGTATAATTGACCATTTTTTCAGGCGCTGAACCTGAAATGGTGCTTTTCTGACGCGGAATTAGTTTTGCGTGTTGAGTGATCCACTAAACAAGCTGCAAATACTGCAAAAGGAAAGCAAGTAGTTTGAACCGCTTGAGCAATCATTGAATAGAACCTAGTTGCTAGGCCAACACTAGAAGATGCTCGACACGCCTATCGTCAACGTTTAATCGTAGGTTCACCAAGAAAAAGACGGGCTCCGATTTACCAGCAATAGAAACCCAAGAAACCAACTAATAGGGATTGCGGCTTCTCCCGTTTCAACTACGCGACGGTGACGGCGATATTCTTGAACCACCGCTGGAACGCAATAAAAAAAAATAAGCAATGCTGTTTTTATTTGCCGAAAAATAAGCGGAAGGTGCGCCAGCAGCCGTACCACAGCCATTTTCGGCCCAATTGCCGGCGAGGCGTGCCGGCAGGAGTGCCACGGCACGGCTGCCCGGCGCGATATTCGGCAGCCGTGCCAAAGGTGTGCTGGCAGGCATTCTATTCATGCGGTAAGTCATACGCTAGTTGTTTCCTGTTAATTTTTATCTGTTCCATATTAAGAAATCCCGTAAACAATTTCCCTTTTTTTTGCCAAAAGCATGTATCTTTAATATCCCTATGCCAAATATCACAGAGTCATGGATGCCGGGACCTTGCCGGGTGGCAGCCGGGAAATGGCCGGTTTCTTGCCGGGTGGCAGCGGCCGATTGCCAAGCGGCTGCCATCCGGCAGGAACCTGGCTGCCATCAGGCGAAAACCCGGCAGCCGGAATTCTGCCGGCACATGCCGGCTCTCCACGAATAGCTTTTGCCGGGTTTTTGCTTCATCCCGCCGGTTATTCGCCGGCCATTTGCCGTGCTTCTGCCATTACAATAAGCGTCGCTTCTGTTGGGCATAGGCTGACGTTTTCATAAGCTCTTGTTAAATAACGTCAAAAATATAAATTTATGAAAGAAGAAAGTGAACGTCCAACGAAAACGCAGCGAAAATCCGAGAAATGCGGAAGTTTGAGGAAGGCTTCGAATAAATACATGTTTACACCGGCAAGAATTCGGCAGTATCCCGACAGCTGGCAGATAGCCGGCAGGAGCGCGCCAGGCCCTTCAGCGAGACGGCAAGAACTGGGCCGCCAGCTTTTTGCCAGGCCAGGCAGCCGGCAGCCATTTTATTTATCGGGCACTACTCCCGGTCTGATTTCGGTCATTTCATTCCGAAAAAATTCTGCACAATATCGCCGTGGTCTGATTTCCAAACACCACGGACGCACAAAAACATGTCCTGGTTAGATTCGTGAGTTCCTGCCTGTTTGTTCTCTATGAAACGAATATACCTTTATCAACACGCAATCGAAGAAAAGATAAGCAGGACAAAAAGTTTTGGAAGAGTTTCCGGGGATTCTAGAAACGAGATGGTGCTGGGGGAGATCATTACTTTTCAAGGCATTATTTCTATAAGTTATTACTTCTAAAAGTCATTTTTTTAAAAACCATTACTTCTAAAATTGTAACTTCTAAAAGTTGGTGCCTCGGATTATCAATTGCACGTTTGCCATTTTTATGCACAAGTCGACGCTAAGAATTTTGGAAATAATGACTTTTAGAAGTGATGACTTTTCGAAGTAATAATGCGCAGCCGTACTAGGGTACCTTCTGAATCAAATACCCGCTATCACCTGGCCCCCGATGCTCATGAAGGATCTGAATTTCCTGCCCATCTTCTCGACTGTGCTTCTCAAGCCTAGCGCTGCGTCTACCGCGCGCAAAAATCCGAATCTCCTCAATTTCTCGGAGCTCCATCTTCCACTCTTCGACGACTATATCGATGAACGGTTGGATGGCTCGATTACGTAGTTGATTAATGTTCAAACGAAACTTTGGGCATCTCAGCTGATGAAACTCATCCGGATCCGTTAAAAAATGAGGTGAAAACGAGTGGACATTTTCGCTAGCGTAGCTCAGGATTTTGGCGATCTCTGTCCCAGGGTGCATTAGAGCTAGATGGTGGAACTTTCCAACTAGTGGCTTCACGCTTTGAAGAATAGCAATTTTTACATTATTTTCGGCAAACGCCGCCCGCATGTCAAATGTGACTTCTGAGGCCCTAATTTTAGGTAAAACTGGTGGAACCACATGAAAGGTAAGAGTGGATACAGAAGTGCCAGATAACAATAAGTCTTGCGAAATAGGATTTTTGATGATAACTGTCGAGTCCGGGTTGGTGATTGAAATCCCATCAGCAGTAATGGTCACGTCGTAATTTGTCCGATTATCCTTCGAGGTCTCTGTCGATTTCCATAGCATTCGACACGTCCGCGCGTAGCGGAAGCGCGTCTCCGGATCCGCGCCGCCGATATAGCCCAGAAATCGCTCATGAATGTCGAGGGGCAGATCGAGGAAATTGATGGAGGAGCTCATCTGAAAGTGGGGCCCTTTGGCATTATCAGGGGGGGGGTTCGTTTTTAAAAGAATTCGCGGGGGGAAACCCAACTTTTTTTGGACCAAGCCCAGAATTTTTCTATAAATGGTGAAAGTGTTTCTAAATTTTTTATAGCTATTAATAAGCATAAAAACTTTACAAAATTTAATTAAAAAATAATCAATCCAAAAATCAATTTTTTCGGCCCAAAAATGACCAAATTGTCCGCTTTTTCAAGAGTTTTTCTAACTTTTAGAAAAGTTTTTCCTATTCAAATAGGCTTAAATTTTGCTAGAAACAATGTGAAAACACTTCATATTTTATTTTTCGACAAAATAGCCGAGTTTCAATTGAAATTTCGATTTTTCTGCTTTCAACTTAAACTTTTTAATTTTAACATTTTCTGCTTTAAATACTAAAAACACGATTAAAGCGCTTAAGTTAGCATTATTTTGATAGCGATTTCTCACCTGATACCAAAAAGGTGTTCTTCCCGAAAATACGACCAACCGCGGGTAGATAGCTAAATTTTGGATGTGAAAAGCTAAACAAACGCGCTAAAAATGACAAAAATGCTGCTTTTTGATTGTTTTATGTAAGCGGAACTTGGCAAGCATTTCATCGCGTAAGCGTAGATAAAAAAACCAAAAGCCCATGTTGAACCCAAGGAAAGAGCGATGACGTTCGCACGAAAAGATCTCTTTCTACCGCGATACCGTTTTGTTTGCTTTTCTAGGATCGCAAAA